GTCTAATCTTGGACAGGTCTTTCTAACAATTACATAATTCTTTTTAATAAACTTCCAACATTCATTTTCATTGACAAAGGACGTTACAACAACAACTGTAGTACATGTAACAAATCTGATGACCAACAAGAAACAGACACAGTCTCAATGGATACAATGCGTGCAGTGTGTTTCTTGGCATCATATGTTTTGTGTCTCAGTAACAATTGATACTACAAATTTTATATGTAAGCTATGTTTGTAAGGATTGTAACACACATTAAAACCTTTCAAATTCATGAAATCATCAAAAATCATTATTTTTCCTATTAAATACACATTAAGCACATTAGAAACTTTCTTAAAAATATAAAATCATGATTTTTTTATAATAATTTTTTATAACATCACGTTTTTTATATATTTTTTTGTTTTCATATTTATAAATATTAATTTTTTAATTTTTAAAACATGAAAAAATAAATATGAATGTGAAACTTATAATTTATAAATATGAAACTACTAGTGAACACGTGTGTCTGCATAATGAATGTGACCAATAGGAGTGCGACAGGATCTCAGGCTCTAGTCGCTTGTAAATTCGTACTGCATCGAATAGACTAGTGACTATATAATGTTATTTGTTTAATTATTGTACGATGTAACGAATAAAATATCTAATTATTTTTAATATAATGTTTTACTATATCGCCCAGAAAATTGTTTTTTCACCCCCCCAAAATATAAATTGTTACTAATCGCCCCCTGAACATGGAAAGACGCCCACATGGGGGCGATATCGCCCCTGTTGAGAAACACTGTCCTACAGAAACATCAAACTTTCATCATATTGAGTAGGAAGCTATGTAGAATAATTGCACTATAGCCATTAACTATAATGTCTTTTTATTAGGATCTAAACAATTTTTATTATATACATAATCATGGTTTTGTTGTGAAGTAAATATAAAAAATCTTAACCATCTCTCTGTGACCCACGTTCCCTTATAAATACTTTAAGATTAGTTGTCTAATATTTATCAATTATTAAATTTGCATTATACACACTTCCAAGTACAACTGGAAGAATATTTACAAAATTTGTTTTGTAATCCAAGTCTGTCCTATGGAGATCGTAGTGATAGTGAATTATAAGATCATGATTATTGTGAAGCAGACACATTTAAGTCTATTCTATACTATTTAAAAGGTTACATTGTTTATTGTCTACCGCCATCACTTAGTTGTGATGAATGAAAAAATATACAGTATTGACAGCAAAACCTGAAGATGCCGCACCAGAGAAGACGTTTACGTTCATCAAATCTCGAGGAGGTTTGTTATATCCAAGCCATAAGCTTTGCCAATTGATGTACTGGACAGAAAGCAAAGTACAATTACCAAAACCAAACATGAGTGTTTATTTTTCAATCTATGTATATAATCGAGGCGGGTTGATAATAATAATAATAATAATAATAATCGCAGAGCCCAAACGATTAGGAGTTGAAATTTGGTACACAGTTAGGGTACGTTACGAGAACGCACACTAAGAAGGGATTTTTCGAAATTCCTCCCCACGGGGAGAGGGACAGGATTAAGGCTTAACACTTCCATCAACAATGGAAGTGTTAAGTAACAATGGAAGTTTTAAATAATAATGGAAGCGTCAACAATGGAATTGTTAAGAGAAAGCGACGAGCAAGACGCAGATGCAGATTTTTCGTTTTTGCGGGAAATCGAACATATGTTTAGACCCATCTAAAAATTTTCTAATCAGTCCGGAAACAGGGGAACCCAATTCTTGCATTGGTTGACTATAAAATGTAATAATGTTAATCTTCCCTATCGTTACTTTTGCCCGAGCAACGCCGGGCCTACCTGCTGATAATGGATATAATATTAAATCAGTGTTTTGTTACATTGATGATAGGATGCAACAATGCTGGTCATAAGTCCTAGTTAAGGCGCTAGATTACCCCTACTTGACCTCCAGATTTTTCACTTTCTTGTTACCTGTCGGTTGCATTTTTTTCATTCGAACGATTAATCAATTATTTATTTCATCAGTTCAAAGTAAAAAACAGAAAAATTTTTTACTTAAAGTAAATTTATTAAGCGCAAATAATAATAATAATTATTATTATGTATAATATAATACACTTCAACGTATACTCTGACTCATTCAATATTATATAACACATTTTTATATATTTTGATTTTTTAACGAAATGTTCGAACCGTTTTAATTTCGAATTTGTTATTGCATATTCGTTCGAATATTGAACGATTTAGAGAATTGATAACCTGACGATGGCCTGTTGATCAGGTTGAAAACGTTCGTTTAAAGCAGTGATTCCCAAACTTTTTCGATCCACCGCCCCCTTTGTTCCATAAAGTTATACGCAACGCCCCCTAACCCATTTTCTCTTGTGTGAGAAAAGGATTGGAAATATTCTTAGGAAAACTTTTCTATGAATCTCACACTTTGTGCCCTTACTGTACATTGTTCTCATCATCTGGAAACCATTAAACGCAATGTTTCCTCTTATCAGCCCCAATTTTGCCTTTGGTCACCGTTCAATACCCTGCCTCTATCATAGATCTATTCATCGCGCCAGAAGGGGGCGTTATTGCTTACTTTGAGAAACGCTGAGCTAAAATAAAAGTCAATGTGTTAGAAATATTCAAGTTGTGACCTTCAATAAAAAATAAAAAATATATAAAATGTCAACATTTTCATCGAATTTTTATATATAGAATTTGTCTGCCGTCGCCCCTCTATATTTCCTTAACGCCCCCAATTCTCTTTGAGCCTTCTACTGCCCCCCTGAAAGCCTCCAGCGCCCACAAGGGGGCGTTATCGCCCACTTTGAGAAACGCTGGTTTAAAGCAATAAAATAGACTCTCAGCAATAAGGTGTATGTGTTATATAATACAATTTGTTTATATGTATAATACAGTTTTTAATACATAATAAATAGACATAATAGCACAATTTAATAATTGGCTATTATGTTAGTTTTGTTCGTTGTCATTTATTTATCCATAAACCTTGGTTTGGAGTCTAAATAAAAGCTTTTTCATTCTTACAATAAAATTCATATAGAAAATTATGAAATCGAACTCGAAGGTTTTATATCTTTCGATAAAAATTCAATCTCGCCAAGCTCTTGTAGTGATTGCAGCGCTCCTGATGATAATATTTATCTTTAGTTGATTTTAGCAATTACTGGAGATAGGTAGTCGAAAGACCTGGGCCGCGTTCAGTAACACAGAACTCCTAAGTTAGAATTCTGAGTGGCTTAGTAAGCGGAGCTAAGAATGTTCTGAGCATCATTGAACGATTATTCTTAGACAACTGGGCAAAATAGTGGACGAAGTTAAAATTACGATCGCAACAATTGTCGCAAACGAACTGGTCGATAAAGATGAAGTACCCAATATTCAAATTATTCAAATGGAAGCTTCAGATCGTGATGAAATTAACGAAGCAATTATTAATTGTAATCAATAAAATTTAATTGTGTTGTTTACCTTAAATTGTGTGTATTTGCTGTTTTAAGTTTATCGAAATGAATATCGTATAGGGTCTGTGAATGGCATTTTCCATTACTGTATTTGTAATAGAAATAAAATTGATTTGGACTTCAAAGGCTTCTTGGAATGAATAAATTCGAAGTACGAGGCACTACTGTATTTCTTCTATTATACGAAATAAAATTCTACGTTTACAATGTAGAATTAAAATAGAAAAATACTGGACCTTGTAAGAAGAATTACAAAAGAAAATTTGACGTTGTAAAACCCATAAAAGTGTGAGGCCATCTCAAAAAGAAAGATATTAAAAAATTTGTTAAGTTAAACCGTCAAGAAAACAAATTATATAAGTGTCGAATCGGCGACACCGAACTTTGATGTCGACGCTCATCAAGAGTAGACAGAAAAATAAAATTTAAAATATTAAAGTTAAGACGCAGTTTAGAAAGCAAAACGAAACTAAAACAAATATCAAAATGAGCGTAGGTGTCATAGTCAACGATTAAACGCGATCAGAGTCTAAAACGGGTGGCCAACAGTTTTTGCCCCCGGGCAGAATTGGAAAGAGAACTTTTTCCACGGGCCGAACCAGAGGCTGCCTAGGAAGATTTTTAGGTGGTGCGAGATCTCATTGTGGTGTCATCCCGTAGATACTGAATTGTAGATAGAGATTACAGATACAGTAGAACCTCGATTATCCGGACTAATTGGGGATGAAGGTAGTCCGGATAAGGAAAAATCCGGATAATCGAAACAAATACTTCAATTTGTCTTTTAATGATAATACAACACGTTTTCTTTTCGATGACATATCGGTGATATTAAAAGTAAATACTGTATTTAAATCGTGATCAAATTTTCAAGAAACAAACGTTCGTATTGAATTTGGACTACTACTGACCAACGCTAACAGACTACCTATTGTTTAAAAGGCCCTCTGGTGGCGCAAGAAGACGGATTTTATAAAATAAAAAGCAGTTGAAACTGCATTTTTATGAATAAAAATTTGACAAACTATTTATCGTTTTATGACGAGTAAAATTTTTTCGTCGCGTTCGCGGCTTTTAAGTAATGCATAAACCTTCGAGGCGCGAGGCCCTTCGGACCGCGAGGCATAGGCGGTGGCCCACGTCGTCCATGCCTTACGCCGCCCTTGGTCATAGAAATGATGTAATTTGAATATAAATTATTTATAAATACGTATGTCAAGTTATATTTTTATTACTACGTAAAATATATTTAAGAGTTTACGACCACTGTGATGGGTGAGACGTTGTTGAAACAAAAAAAGTTATGCATTCCGTCACGTACATAAACAGTGTCGTAATTCGCCAAGTGCAAATCAGCAAATTCGTAAAATTTTTGTTTATTTTGAACAATCCGGATAATCGAAAATCCGGATAATAGAGGTCCGGATAATGGAGGTTCTACTGTACATATTTCACATTATCATGTTTTATCAACACTCTACGCTGTACTTACGAGATTTGTAATGGAGGGTTAACGCTAAACGCACAGTGAGTTGTTGACCTTTCTTTTTTTTCTTTAGGCGTCAGAATTTTTCATTGAACTATTCGGACTTCAGTAACAATATTGAAAGATTGATCGCGGGCCACATAAATTCATTACGGGCCGGATCTGGCCCGCGGGCCGTATGTTGGCCATGCCTGGTCTAAAAGATGGTGTCGGATAAACCATCTCCAGCCGACCTTTCCCGCGAACTATACGAAGCTCCAAAAAGGACCTTTGCCAAAAAAATATGTAAGCATTTTCGACCAGAATAAACGGTTTCTCTGTGAAACACTTGTCTTTTGCTGCTTCTTAAAACCGCCACTCACGTACGCGTAGACCTGAGAGCTATCCCGACGGTAGGGAATAAAATCTCCCCCCCCAATCGGCGTTCTAACAAAAGCATTAAAAACTCAAGTTTTTAATCCTCGGTACGTGATAAAATATAGTATATCGATCATTTACATCAGGCTTTATCATCATGATTGAGAAATATCTAGAGCATTTTATCAATTTCTTGAATTAGAAACAACAGATAAGCTATATAACCGAACTGATAATTTCCGTATCCCTTAGATTCCCGATTAAAAATGGCGGAAAGAAGATTCGAAAAGCCAGAGCAAGCTTCTGCGTACGCAAAGTTTCGTCCTTCTCCTCCTCAATTCATCACTGATAAAATACTGAAATATTTAGAAGAGAAGGTATGTTTTAAATATAATTATATTAACCAAATATATTGGTAATACGTGTTTCGGTAAAAATAACTTTCAAAATATTTAATTTTGTGCTAGTCGCCACGTTTACTTTTTGACGTTAAAGAGCTTCGTAGTTAAATTTTAAAAATAAAATTAATAAAAACAATAGTTTAAAAATTTGATAATTTACATGTAATTTTAATATAGATTAATCCTCCTTATGAACATGTATTGGATGTGGGATGTGGAACGGGGCAGAGTTCTGTCATATGGAAACCATATTTTCGTAACATTACCGGATGTGACATCAGTTCCGCTCAAATTGAAGAAGCCAGAAAGAAGAGTTCGTTTGAAAATGTGAATTTCGTGTTAGTTCCTTATAAACGTTTCGTATTATTAATTAGTTGTTTCTCTGAAAATTACATACTGTATTCTGTTTATTAAAAATAATCCGAATTGAAAATACGAATGTATGACGGCAGGATGGGCGAATCAGTCCCCCGCTCTCGGGGATCGGATTAATTTTACGTGTTAGTTAATTATTTTCATGTTTTGAATGCTAACAGCTATATTCACGATCAAGGATCAAGAGCTAGAACTTAACCAATTATCATTCACTTAACTAATAGATGTTCGTGTACTATAAGTAAACAAAGTAAACATCTAACTCAAAAGCCTGGTTCACACTATGCGATAAAATCAATGACTACTTCTTCATATCGCTGATATGGTGTGCACCGTTGTAGAAAATTAAGTCATTCCGATTTCATCGTCGGTGCACGCTGCTAACAATAAAATTAAACTCTTAAATGTAAAAATGCATTATTTTATCATAATGTGTAATAGTCCAATTCCTCGCCCTTCTAAGCCTACTGCCGTTAGAGTTAAAAACTTGCTTTGTTTTAACTTTTACAGCGCTATGCGCATTTGCAGAAAAAGTCAAAAACAAATTAGTTTAAACTGAATTTGATGTTTTTCACTAAGCAAACCGATTTTGCCGCCTCTCAAAATCTGTCGCTCTAACTCCGCACCTACTGTGCTTGCTTAGAAATCCGAACCCGAGCACGTCATCCCTGTTCTAAGACAAAGATATTATTTTAAAAAAAAAAAACAGACTTAACACACACTTATATTTTATATTTAATTAGTTATTTGTGTCAAGTATTTGTGTCATTGTGTTTACTTGACACAAATAACTAATTAAATATAATATACTATTGTGCATCGCGTAATTTCATACTATTGTGCATCGCGTAATTTTAGTATGAAGTACTATTGTGCATCGCGTAATAGTACTTCATACTATTGTGCATCGCGTAATTTTTTCAAATCAAAAATCAATACTTAAAGCTACTCGGGGATACGTTTTGGTTCTCTGAAAACATTCAATTCTTCAATTCTATACCGTATATTTGCGAGGTGCATTCAAGTTGTAAGGTCTCTTTTTTTTCTAGGGGAAGGAAACAGGTAGCAACATGCAGTTTTTTAAAAGAAGCGAACGCTGTTTGTTGTCGCATAACAGAGAGGGTAGCATCAAGTCTAGCGGCAGCAGTTCGAGTGGGAGACGTTTTTGATACCTAAAATGGAGATGTCTTCATTACAAAAACAACGCGTGATCATTCGTTTTCTGCACTTGTGTGGAGTGACCCACTGAAATTCATTGCCAGTCGAGTGACACATGCGGTGATGGTGTCACGGATGTGAAAAATGCGTTCCTGGGTGCGACAGTTCAAAGAAGGGCGAACATCGTGTGACATCGAACCGAAACATTCACGCCCGCGCATCCGCCGGTCTGACATCATTGCGGGCATGAAGCAACTTGCTCCACGCGCGCAATCATGTTGTCATTACAAATTGCTTCCGGCATTGCGAGAAAAACGACCGGAAAAGGCTGCACGTGTGCTCTTCCATCAAGACAATGTTCCAGCTCATCGGGCGATATTAACACAGGAATTTCTTCGTGAAAACAACTTTGAAGTGGTTTCTCATGCTCACTTGACTCTGCTCCTAACAATTTTTGGTTTTTTCCAACGATAAAAACACTCTCCGCGGTCGCACATTTTCCAGTCGTGCCGCTCTAGCATCAGCGATTTTTTAGTGGTCAAAACAAACCCCTAAAGAAGCGTTCGCAGTGACCATGATATCATGGCGTCGACGTTGTGAAAAATGTATACGTAAGCAGAGATTATATCGAGAAGTAATAGAAGTTTCAATTTGTTTAAGTATTTTGTCAGAAAAAAATGGGAGACCTTAGAACTTGAATGCACCACGTAATATACTTTCTGTCGATAGTAACAAATATTTAAACTCGAGACATTTTGTATGTTTTATAGCTAACAATACTTATCCATTTTTCTAATTTCAAATTATTATTCACAGTATTTGTCCTTCGGAAAAAATTCCTCTTCCCGATAATTCAGTTCAGATGATATCTGCAGTTGCAGCTCTCCATTGGTTCGATATAGAAGAATTTTTCAAAGAAGCAAAGAGATTGTTGATCAAAAATGGTGTTTTAGCCGTTCAGGGTTATAATAGAGTTAGGGTGAAATTCGATACAGATGAAAAAACTTCTTTAGGAAATGCTGTCCTGAAAGAGGTTGATCTTTCATTTTATTTACTTCTTTTATAATTTAATTCGTTTTATGCTATAGTTTATCCTGTTTAAATGTTAACATCTCTTACAGTTAGTGTATGATAACTTACACGGACATTGGTCGAAAAAAGTTGTAAATTCCAGTAATGAATTTTCTTCTATCGATTTTCCGTTTTGTGATGTTGTCAGGTAAGAACATCTTGTCTTAATTAATTAATTAATTATTAATATCATGAATTTCAAATTTAGGCATACCGGAATAAAAGATAGTATTGAAGTAACGGTAGATTATGCCATCGGTTTCTTTTTCTCTTACTCTTCCTATCAAACTTTGAAAGAACTTCAACCAGAAAAAGCCGAATCTGTATTGAAACAATTACAAGAAAGGTAATTATATCCCAAAATTTCAATTATTTTATTTTTAATCATTGTTTAATTTTATCAATTTTTATTATTATTATTTAGACTTTTGGAATTGGCTGGAGGAGAAAATGGAAAATTTAGACTGGAGCGGGATTGTTATTTAATTTTATGCAGAAATGTTTAAAAAAGTATTTAAACGATCATAAATTAACACATTTAGTTGTAATTATTTACATATAATTTTTTGTTTTGGAGTGAATAAAATGTTGGTAATCACAATTTTTATATGGGGAAATTTTGTATGCTGTCAACAATGTATATGCTATAAACTCTCATTTAAAATCATGGTTAAAATATATTGAACAATAAATTATTTTATGAAAAATTAAGATTTAATAATATTTGACTTCCTTATACGTTGAACAGAAAATCATTAATATATTCAAACATTATTTCTTTTTGTCATTTATGTATTTAAGCTTATATTTTAATTTTTTAAAAATGAACATTTGTACAATATTATATACTCCACAAGTTCTTGAGAGAATGATTACTTGATTCGAGGAAAGTGGACATCTGGGAGTTCGACCCGATAGAAGCTGCAAACCAATCACCTCCTTGCATCTCTTACAGATTTGCCCATTGGACTGGATCAGTTTCAATTTTTAGTATTCATTGAAATGAAAATGGAATTAAATAAGCGAAAATAAAACACAAATAATTAAATAATTTTTATTTTATATTTTATTTGTTATTAAAATTGAAGAAACTTCAATTTCAATAAGAAATAGATACGGATACGGATATGTCGGGCCCATACCTCACCACCCGGCCATTGTGGGTCTGGCCGAACCCATAATGGGCTCGCTGAAAGAGGCCCTCTTAGTCCCCACAGGGCGAAGAGAATTTAAAAAAAAAAAAAAAGTATGTGGGTAGGTGCGCTTTTGTTCGCCCCTTTTGAAGCTTAATAATTCCTGTTGTTTTTGTAGATGATTTTTGAAATTTTGCAGAGGTTTGTGTATTGGAGGGATTGATGCTATTAAATTTTGTTGGTTAAAGATCGACGGGGTGGAGAGATAAAGGGGGTCAAGTGTCGTATCTCCAGTAGGGTCGGACGTAATGGTGACTTGATTATACATGTTCGGGTTAGCTGCCGAAATATTACCATCTAATTTCTTCTTAACTATCTAAGTAAGATTAACATCATATTCAATACTTCAGTAATTGATGTAGAATAATTAAAAAAAAAAAGAAAAAAATGGACTCAGTGGCGTTTCCGAGTAGACAATGGAAAAAAATGAGAAGCATTTTCTCTCTCGAAATATTCTTTTCCGAGATAGAAAACAGCGCGAGTAGCATCCAGTCGTCCTTATCGGATATAACGAAATCGAGACAAAAGACGAAAGACAACTAACTACCCGCTTGTCTCTGAGAAACGAGAGAAAAAGTTGTCCAGAATCAAGGTCCTAGATTATAAGGTTACCTCATACAGCTGGTTTAGCCACTTCCTGCTAGATTCCGGATTACGTCATCCGTAGTCGAGCGACTGCTTCACAATAGTTAGGGAGAGAAGAAAATTTTGGAATTTCACCATTTTTTGTTACTTTGTTGAGAGTTTTTAGACTTTTAATCTTCGAAGGTAAATATATCTATCGTTACTACTATTATTAAACATAATTATGTTGATAATTATATCGATAAAAATTGTACGGAAGTAATAAAAGTGTTCTAAGAACCGTTTGATATTATGTTGTAGTCTTTACACTTCGTTCTGTAGAAATTACAGAATACGATTACTGATTACATATATTTATTACTAAAATACCTTAAAATACTAAGAATAGTTTTCTTCGTGTGTAAAAATAGTATCTGCACGATGAAATGACGACTACAAATAATAGAGAGGTTATGGCCGACGTTTTCATCGCGAAAACGTGTTTTTGGGACGTTCAGCGCAGCCTTCCTGTAAGCTTAGAAGTTTGACAATGGCGTTTGGTACGTCGAGCATTATTGCACTGACGTACCAAACGCCATTGTCAAACTTCTAGGCGTACAGGAAGGCCACGCTGAACGTCCCACAAACACGTTTTCGCGATGAAAACGTCGGCCGCAACCTCTCTAATAAGCTGGCCGATAACACTTAAATTTCCCCTATTGTATGATCACTTGAAAAAGTGATCATACAATAGGGGAAATTTAATATATTTTAAAGTATTTAATATATAAGTATTTAAAGTCACATAAAAGCATTAAAATATGTTTACAACATTTTACTTATGAATACATTTTAGTCTGATGTTTCTCAGTATGCAAAGCAACGTTATATTAATTAAACATGAATATACTCTTTGTTCTTAGTATTTTGGTCGACCTGCCTTTGTTTAACTCGGACTCTGAGGAAAATATAGATTATCACGAAATACAGACAGCTTACAATCTGATTTCATTCCTCTTATTAACTCTTTGTCCGATCCGCACCAAATTTTTCATAGTCTGGGACTCTGGGAAAAATAAAGACTTTCACGAAATTTGATCTCCTCGACACTTCGCGATAAGCATAACAACTGGTAGGTTAAATTAATCAAATAAGTAATTTGATTTTCATTTCAACGTTTAGCCATTTTATCCGTTTCTTTTCTTGCATCCAACAGCCATTTTTAGAATTACTGTCAGTACATCACTCCACATCATCCAAGGCAATCCACAAAGTACGAATAAAACTTAATCTTCGAGGAGGGTAAGAATTTGATTTCAAATTTCACGGTTTAGAGAACAGAGAGAACCCGAAGAAAGAACATTGGCAAAACAATTGCAAGAGAACTATGCAAGAGTTTACTCAGGAATATCCGGCATAACGACTCTTTACACTTACAATCTTTATTATTTCACAATAATTGAAAAATCATTGTGAAAGGAAGAGAGACATTTGTGAACATTCTCATATTAGAAGAATTTTTTAAATATTTAAACAGAAATTCAATTTTTAAGCTTGATTTTCTTCACTGAGGAAATTACTCTGTCGTTATCGAGATAATATCACAGGATAACGTTGAGTCGTCCTTTCCCCTTAACCAGGAACAGCAAACAAAACCTGACGAGTGGTCCCCAAAGAAAACGGGAACACCAAACTCAGAAAACAATTGGTTAATCTCTGCAAATGAACGGCCCAGAAGAGGAGAAACAAACGGGAAAACAGGAGAGAAGAAGAAGAAGGAAGAATAAGGAAAGGGTAAAAAAAGAAAGGGAGAGAGAGAGAGAGAGAGAGAGAAGTCAGTCGAAATACTTTGAGCGATTATCATAGGTCAGAGATCTTGCGATTTTTTGACGGGAACTTTCTAAGTCTCTTTTAACTGTGCCTGTTGTGATCTTCTAAGACAATTAAAACAAATTGTGTTTATTGAAATAATTTCCAAGACTATCCTAATTAATTGTGTCTTCTCAAGAACCGAACGATCCATTCAAGATTTACCAGAGAAAAAGAAATGAAATCTACCCGGAAGTGGGAAAATAAACTTCGTTTATGCAGTATACTTGGGTGTTATCGCTTCTATCATATCCACGTGACATTCACCTTAAAAAAAAAAACGAGATGTACCCGAAAATTTCTTGTTCAGAGGTTCGAATAGACCATCTGCTCGGGATTGCGGATGGACTATTCGAATAAATAACAGGCAAATTTCCTCACGATCAATAAGATTACTATACATTAATTAATGCGTTTATTTTTCCGTAAATTAAGTCAATTTGTATGTATTATTTTCAAGATTTCTACATTGCAGTTAATCACAGCTTTTTTCTTTTTTGAAAAAGTAGCATTACAATACATTGATCAAGCAAATAATAAGGTATAAAGTCCTGTAAATATTTCGTTTCAATTAATATATACTTAACTAGATGTGAGGGACGAACAGACCCTCAATAAAGTGTTATTTTAAATTTTTAATTATTTTGGAATTCAATCGTCTAACTTCGATCATTTTATCAAAAATCAAGCTAAAATCCATAAAAATTATTTCCCACGGATTTGGTTCCTTGTTGAGGAGGATTTATCTAGTCATTAATGCGTCACTCGGAACGTTCGATAAAATTCCAGTATTGGACGCTAGGTCCTTAACAGCAACCTCATGGAAAAACCCAGAAGGAACCCAAATAACAAGGGAGAGCAATAACAAATTGAAGAGTTGTCCTCAGAAGTCGTCCTCCCACGTTTTCCTCCTCACGAATTAATACCGTGCCTCTTTAAGGATATCTTACACACATCTCCACCTCCGTGCCTCCACACCTCAGTGCTCCTGTTACCGGACACTCTAAAGACCCAGAACAATTTCATCGAACCGCGAACATTCCATCGACGGTTTATCCAGTCATCTTATAACAGATCTTCGACTCAGTTAAAAGGTATTTATCAACACGCGATTCGTTTGTAAACTCTCTCTCTAGAACGGGCTAGTAATAATTAAGGGGAACTTTAGTCATGCTTGATATCGAGTATATCTGTATTTTCTTTTGTTATAATTAAAATTGTTATTGTTAGTTAATATGAAATCCGAGTGAGTCACTTTCTCGTCTTTCTCCTCACCTTTACTCCGAATCCAACCGCTCACCCGTTACCGCTCGAGTGACTTAAAGTCGCAATTTCCGAGTCCTGAGAGACTCGGTGGTGTCACATCCTGACGTGATGTCAAAGAGACACCGACCCTACGGTCACATAAAAGTCACAATTCCTATTGTAATTCCTATTCATATCTTTGTTCATCAACAGTAAATATAAATATTGATTAAAATCGTGTTTTCCATTTATAACTGCATTTCAAAAACAAATTCTTTTAACAAAATGTAAATTTTAAAGTCACATTAAGTACATAGTTTTGCATGAAAATTCCTAAATGTTTATGTTACCGCTAAAGCTCGAAAGTCGTTAATGTGCACATTACCTAGCTAATCTGCAGATTAACTAGAGTGATCCATTAAAGTTGCTAGAATTGTTCTATTTCTCAAATTACCTAGGTAATATGTAGATTATCTAGGTAATCTGCAAATTACCTACTAGGCACTCGGTAAAGTGAAAATAAGATCTTTGCTGGAACAACAGCAACGTTTCTGTACGCTTAAATTAACATAATGTTCTTTATTTAATTTTCGATATCTAAAGAATCAAGTTAATACAATCAACAAATTAGTTGATAGAATCAATCATCAACCAATTAAAAAAACTTTAATACAAAAATCAAACGGTTTAAAATATTAATACAATTAGGGAAATTATTATATAGATAACCACCTATGGAATTTCGGGACTTTGAGTATCTATCTGAACTGAGGGGACCGAGACGACTTCAACGATACTCTACTTTTGGACCGGAGACGAAAAATAATAAAGTTATCATACTTTTTCTGGTGATCGCATGATGTAATTGTGCAGTTAATGTTACCTATGGTAGTAAAATGGCGGCTCGTCTTTGATTCCAGCAAACAGAAGAAAGGAAACATTGGGGACGCACGTTCTGTCCTAACCAAACCTGTTTTAATAAATAACCTAATTATTACCAACCAAATTATTAGAATAGGTTAGGTTAGGTTAGAACGTGCATCCCCACTGTTTCCTTTCTTCTCTTTGCTGGAATCAGAGACGAGCTGCCATTTTACCCACCATAAGTAACATTATCCAATTGTGCAGTCTAAAGATTGGTGACACTTTGAATTTTATTGCAGTTGGTTTCTGTGACAAGCACACCTATTTGTGGTACATTTATTTGTGGCAAAGATCTTATTTTCACTTTATCGAGTGCCTAGTAGATAATGTGCGGATTACCTAGATACTCTGCACATTATCTAGGTAATTTGAGAAATGGAACAATTTTCTCAACTTTAATGGATCACACTAGTTAATCTGCAGATTAACGAGTTTCGAGCTTTAGCGGTAACATACATATTAGTATAATTTTAACTTTTTTTTTTTGTTGTGAAAATCTCTCTTAATGAAACATCAAATTTCTTAGATTTTATCTGTGCCGAGCAATTCTCGGAAGTCAATTCTTTCCTTGGTTACACATGAAATAATATAAATAATAGTTAAAAATAAAATTTATACAAATATAAACAACCAATAATATTTAGATAGAGTTAGATAGCTTAATAAATAGGATTTTAACAATTTTGGGGGCTTATCACACTAAATTGTTAAAATCCTATTTATTAGTCTATCTAACTCTATCTAAATTAAAGTTGTAGGCTAAAAGCGTCATTTATTATTATAACCAATAACATGATTATTTGATAAATGCCAAACAAGCTGCTAAATTATATCAGGCTAGGATATGGTTATTATTAATAATTAAATACTAAGTGGCCTAGAGATAGGCATTAGGTGTCATTGCTTATTAAATTTAATAATTATAATTAAATTAATATTTATTAAATAATTGAGAATGTCAAGTCCCTCTTGGACTGATTCTCTATTTCCAGAATATTGTAAATTATTGTTTGGCATTTATACAAATATTAGTTGAGAATCCTTGTTGTTCTCCATTACCAAACTCAACAATACAATGCTAAAAACATGTTCTCTAAGTACCATCATATCAATATAAGGGATTAGAGAATGGCCACAAGTGTTTACTCATGCCCATTCTCTGAAAAACATACTATGATCCTGCAAATTAGTGGAATTTAAGAAAAACTTAAGAATTAAATAATAAAATTCTTAATAATAAATTCAGGTGATTCTGAAAGTAAGAATATGTCTTAAAATTATGAAGTTAAAAACTTTCTTAGATTCCTTTTTCAGAATTGATAGAGTTCATTAATAGATCAATATTACTTTTTTTTAATAATTTTTAAATGTACCAATGAAATGCATCTACTGACAGTTCTTAAAAGTATTAATTAATTTATTTATTATTTTTAGTTTAAATATCAGTTGTATCTTTAAATTATTTTATAATTTTATATTAATTGTTTTTTCTAAATGCATTAATGTTTTATTTGTAATTATTTTTTAACTTTTGAAATATGTAATAAAAGTGCTTATAACTATTGTTTTATTGTGTATTGTAAAAATATAACATTAATATAGTGTTTGAAACTTTAATTTATGCTATTTTGATTTTTAATATTATAACTACATTTGAATACAATTAGAACTGTCTCCTATTAATAAAATATTTAAGAGGTAACAAGTATGAAAAGAATTCTAATGTGAAATAGTAGTTTAAATTAATTTTTATGTATTGAAATGCAGGAAAACATTTCATCTAGTACAATACAATATACAAATCATTTATTTCAATGTTAAATATAATATTACTAAAGTTTTCAATATAATAGTCATAGTTGTGCACTGTTAATAGATAGGTTTTGTTGATTGTACCAACAAAATAAATCTAATAACAGTTCATTTTTCTATTTTTATATTATCTCATTTTCATATAACTAATACATATTTGTTATTTACTTACATTTTTAAGGTATTATACTGTAAATGGTGGAATATCTGCACCGTATTACTGTAATCCAACTGGTATCTATAAACCTTTTACCGGTGCACGTATCATCATACTCTACAACAGTTACAAATGTTTTTGAACCGTTACGGTTCTTCTTCAGGTAACGATCCCCTAATGGAATGCGGTTCAAAGTTGTTACGAAATGCGATCCGGAACGATGTCCCGACCCGGTGACATCACTACGAACTTGCGCGTTATGAATGATGTGCTCTATCTTAGAGATTTATCTATTAGGGCCTGCCAGGCCATCGATAGAGTGATTTAAATCTTTGTAGTTAATGCAATTACATCCTTCACTCGTGTTTAGGCATATGTAGATCGCCTCCAGCCATCTGAGTTGGTTCGTGCGATGGGTGGTGTGAATGACCTTTGCTTGAGAGAATATGGGTTCTATGTCAGGGTCCGACGAGTATAAGGCAAGAGCTGTGTTAGTTCTTTCATGGTTGATATCCGCTTCATGCTCTTTGATCCGGGTTACTAAGGGGCGTTTAGTTGATCCTATGTAGATCATGTTTCTATCACATCTGTGATCAATGATAGGGATGGTATAGATGCTGGGGAGCTTATTTCGGTCTGGGGTGTCTTTCCTGTTCCTTAACAAATCAAAAATCGTAGCGCATCTTCTAAATGTAATACGGATATTCTTTTTCTTAGCTATCTCCTTGTATATGGATTTTAGTACCGGATTATATGTGATAGGGATGTTGCTAGTAGGAGTAATGTTGGAAAGTTGATGACAGTTTGCTTCCTGCTGCATTTTTGCGTTCAGTTTATTTATGATCCCATGGTATCTGTCCTGCTTGACTATATCCACTATACGTTTCATTTCAGATCAGAGTGCCATTTGGGACGAGGAGGGTGTATGCGCCCTCCTGATCAAGGCTTTGAATGCTGCGACTTTGTATTGTGAGGGTCACATGACCCTGCTGGTATGTATAAACCAGCTGAGGTTGGTTTGCGATAAACCGCTGTGTGGACTGTTATGCTCTCAATCTTAATGTTAATGTCCAGGAAGTGAGCCTCTGTAGGATGTGCCTGGTCTACTTCTATAGTTAAGTTGTATGGGTTGTTATTGATGTCCTCAGTGAAGATCTTAGTGAAGTCCTTTCCCAACTCCGTCTCGTTGAGTTGATTTCCGTGTGTCATGATTCGATGTAGTGATCCAGGTTCAATGGAAAGCACACCTCCACACTCAAATTGATAATATTTATAGTTTATTTACGGATTCTATATGTAGAAGGTACAAGTTCGAAAACATAATATATATATATATATACAGGGTAACAATGCGTGGTGACTCACGTACTATCTTGGTTTCTGGGAACTTTTAAACTTTGAAGCATCCTTGGTCAGCTCATGGAGTTGGCTCAACTGTATGGTCCGTCCAGTCTCCACACTAACCCTAACCCGTCCCTGAGATGTTTACCAGAGGAGAACACTCTCTCTATGCTCAGCAGGTCTTTCAAGTGCCTGAGACTACTATGTACCAGTCTCTTGCCCTTCTCTCCTCCTCTCTCGTTTGCCTTGCAATTTAAGGGTTTTTTTTGGACAGGGACATCCGACCAATCACAATCCCTTCTTGCCCGAACAGCTTACACTCGGGTTTGCCGTCATCTGACAAGAGTGAAGCTTACATAAATGTCCGCCACTTGTTTACGTTCAGTTGTTTACCATATGGCAAATGGTCTAACATCTGACTACAGGTGGGTCCAATTGACAAAGCCGGCACTTCCTTTGTTTTCCCTCTGTTTACAAGTCAACACTTTACAAGTGGTATTACCTGACCGCACATGGGTCCAATTGACAAGGTCATGCCTGTTTTGTTCCCACTCTGCTAAAAGGTCAATACTTTACATCCTCGACTAGTGCATTAATGTTCGGCTCGTCTTTCCATAGGATTAGGATATCATTAATGTAGCGCTTGTATATTAGGATGTTGGGAAGATATTTTGGGAGAAATTCTGATTCAAGTTTCCTCATTACTATTTCACACAGGTCTCCTGCGATGGGGCTGCCCATTGGGACTCCTCTTTGTTGTTCATACGTAATTCCTTTGAACTGGAAGAAGGAGTTGTGACACAGCAGATGTGCCAATTCAAGGTTATGTTGATGGAATGTGTTGTCTTTTACGATGGTAAACAGGGTGTTCTTGATGGCGCAAAATACTTGTGGAAGTTTAATTGATGGGTAAAGTGATTTTAGCGTGCGGCGTGGGTAAATCCTTAATCATGGAAATAAGGTCTACCGGAGTGGTGATGGAGTATGGGTATCCTTCCAGGAGGGGTGTCAGCATCCGGTGTGCAGCTTTCTCCAGTTTAATGGTAGGTGCCCTAGCTTTATCAACTACTGGTCTTAGCTCGCCCCCCCTGTTTATGGGTTTTTGCGAAAGTGAACATTCTAGGAGCATCTGGAGCATCGGTGGTAATCTTTTTTAGTTCCAGCCGTTTTGCTAGTTTTGTACTGGCAAAGCATTTAACCCTCATTTGTAAATTGGCGATGGCATTGCTATTAGCAATGCTGTATTGAGTACGGTTGATGTGTTCTTCTAGTAATCTGTCGTAGGTGTCTGTCTTCACGAATACTAGTGACTTGCTTTTGTCTGCTCTGACCAGTGTGACTTTGTACGACAGCATCCACTTACGCATACACTCTAGATTTGCTCTTACTTGCTGGTCTTCTTGCAACTTCCTGGATTTTTTTTAGGGTGTGTATGGCTTTCCATCGGAAGTATTCTTTCTCTCTATCTGGACATCCCACCAACAGCGCCTCAAGGTCGGGGATGGTGTTAACGATATCATTGCTCGGGGGAAGTGCGAACTTGGGGTCCAATCTCAGCACTTTTCTCACAAATGCGGGAACTCGTAAGTCATCCCACGTGACGAACGGGAAGGAAGGCGGGCTCCTTGTCTGCAGTGCTTGCCTTTTTAGAATCCAACGGAGTTTTCTTTGATACCTCTTACTACAAGATTGTGTAAGCTTTTCCTGCTTGGCGAAAGAGTGAAAGTGCTAGGCTTGTCGCTAAGCAGGAAAAGCTTACACAATCTTGTTTATTGTGGCTAACTAGAACCAAAAAGTTACATTTTAAGTGAATCTACATAAAGCTGGGATCATAAATTCATAGATAATCCATATGAAAAATGTTTAATTGGGTCTTCAATAAAGCAAAACAAATGAAAAATGTGAAAGAAATCTTTATCATCCTTATTTACATATATGTAAAATATTTGCTATTAATATATAGTAATTGAATAATAGAAATTATTTATAAATATTATTTATAACTGAATTTTAGAAGAATTCAGTTGGGTTTCATCATTTTTACTGACTGCTGAGTTTTGATACACAAAAAACTGACTCTAAAGTACACTGTTTTCTGCAATTTTGTTTAATATTGTTTTATAACAAGATAATAAGTCTTTCATCCTGTGCCCAAATTTTTCTGTCCATTCATAAACTGGATTGTTTTAAGAAAAAAATTAACAATTTTGTCAATTTGTCAAAACGACTTTCCAAATGTAGCTACATTGATGGTTTCATCAATGGATAGCCTGTTTTCATTTGGAATTTGATCCAAGTTCTCATCACTGTCCTCAATTTCTTCAATTGTATTCTTATCTAACCCTTCAAACCCCTTATTTGTTAATGGCAAACCATGAAAATTGAGTAACTCTTCAACATCATTGAATCCTGCATCTCTAGCAAGAGTAACAATTTCTGTATAAATCTGAAAATCATTTAAATTTTGAAATAAATGAACTGATTTAGCATATAAATTTTTCCAGCATCCATTCATTAAATAATGCAAAATATCTTTCCAAGCTTGATCAATAAGCTTATGCATGCATTTGTATTTTGTTTTCAGTTCTTATTGGTTTTTCTCTTTTGTTTTCTGATTTTCTTATCAAAATTATGTGAACAAAGAGTAACAAAACTGATGACAAAGTTCCTAAAAGTAAATGTGCTTCATACAATCTAGATATTAAAATAGACACAATTAATCAAAAGAAGAAAGGAGAATGTGTAATTGATGTTTCTTGTGCTCTTAACATTTCTGAGATTACAGTTTACATAATTGTTAAGAATTGGATTTGGAACTAAAGCTAAAACTAGGTTATTCCATTCTGAAGTGAAACTAACATGTCTGAGGAATGATATAATGGAGATGATGGAAAAGTATCTAGCAACATGGATTGAAGATCTCTATCAACATATATCTATTAGTTTAGCCCTAGTCCAAAAAAAACCTTTATTTTTGCGTGAAGATATTCAAAAGGAGGTGGGAGAGTAAGCAATCACAAAAGCTAAATTTTCTGCATCAAAAGGCTGGTTTCACCATTTTCAAAAATGTTATAGATTTAAGAACATTAAAATTCAAGGCAAAATTGTTAGTGCTGATACAGAAGCAACTAGAATTTCTCCAGATAGATTGAAGATGATTGTTGATGAGAGAGGATACAGTCCGAAACAAATATTCAATGCTGATGAAACTGGATTATATTGGAAGTGTGTGCCATCTCTAACATATCTATCTATAAAAGAGCAATCTTCTCCTGGTTTAAAGCATCAAAAGATCAAATCACTCTGCTTCTTGGTGGAAATGCAAATGAGGATAAGAACCCTTCTTAATTTTTGTAGTGAAAATTCTTGAGTTTTAAAAAATGTGGCAAAAAATCTTTGCTCCCAGTAATTTGGAAGTTGCATCAGGAAGCGTGGATAACTAGAGAAATATTTTATGATCAGTTTGTGTCTACAACAAAAAAATACTGTGAAGAGGAAAATCTTGCATTTAAAATAATTTTATTTTTAGATAATGGCTCTACTCATTATGTTGGCTGTTAATTTATGTCCTAATGTGAAAATCGTTTCTTGCCTCCAAGAACTTCATCATTTTACAACCCATGGACACTGGAACTTACACTTGAAACACTGGTGTAATAACCAGTGTTTCAAGACATATTATTTATGTTACAATTTTAAAAAATTAATTGCTGAAACAGATTTACCCAATAAAAATAGTGTTTAAAGTTTTTGGAAAAATTTTAATATTTTTCATTATGTTAATAATGCATCTTGTATATATCAACCAAAGCTGAATATTATTGGGCTAAAAACGGCTATAATACTAATAATTTAATATTTAAATTTAATTTAGTATTATAGCCGTTTTTATCCCGATAATATTTGGCTTTAGTTGATGTATAGCTTTAAATGTATTGGGTGTAGTAAGGATGTTTGAGCATCTTGTATATGGTATTATGTATCAGTGTGCACGTAGACCATGTTGTGCAAGAAGTTACCATCTGCTGGGAAAATCTCATAAGTCATGGAATTTTTAAGTGGTGTTCCACAATTTTTTTGACCATGTAACTATGGAGACTTGGATAATGAATACTCGTTAAATGAGGTCCACCTGTATATAAAGAAAATATTAACAAAAATCACCAGAATTAAACAGTAAATCAAAGTTAAGTTGTATGCTTAGCAAAGTCAACATTATGGATCAGTCTAATAATACTAAGTAATTAACGGCAGATTAATTTAAATGATGATAACTTTATTCAAAGAAACTTTATTTGTATGGTTATGCACTTAATGTGGAAAGAGCTGTGCCACAGTCTTAGAAGAAGGCCAAATTTTATTTATGTTTTTAACAATATTATTAAGAATCATAAGAAATCATAAAACTAGTTGAATATAGTTTTCAACATGCCGTATTTCGCTTTTTGCCCTTACTATTAATAAACATATCTACTAACTTAAGGTAGTTATTTATATTAGGTCTTATCATACTAGTGAACATGAACACAAAATTTCTCAAATTTAATGTAAATTTAAATTTACATCTGAATAATTTAAATGGAGATATAAATGATTTAGAAAAAAATAATATTATATATAAATTTAATTGTAATTATAATGACAGAATGATATATATAAGTGAAACAAAAAGATATTTAAAGGTTCAAATAAAATAATGTATTAATGCAATAAAATATAATATACAATCTTCATCTGTAGCAACACATTGTAATTTAAACAGATGTGAAATAGAAAAAGTTTCAATAAAAGCTATAAAATTTGAAACATATATTAATAAACATAAATATTATGAACACATTGAAATTTTAAAAGTTAAAAAAGAAAAAAGAATTAATGATAATTTAGGTGTAAAAATAGATGAAGGTTGGTATGATTATATTGATAAAAATCAAAATAAAAATAGATTTATGACATAAACTTGATNGATAATATTTGGCTTTAGTTGATGTATAGCTTTAAATGTATTGGGTGTAGTAAGGATGTTTGAGCATCTTGTATATGGTATTATGTATCAGTGTGCACGTAGACCATGTTGTGCAAGAAGTTACCATCTGCTGGGAAAATCTCATAAGTCATGGAATTTTTAAGTGGTGTTCCACAATTTTTTTGACCATGTAACTATGGAGACTTGGATAATGAATACTCGTTAAATGAGGTCCACCTGTATATAAAGAAAATATTAACAAAAATCACCAGAATTAAACAGTAAATCAAAGTTAAGTTGTATGCTTAGCAAAGTCAACATTATGGATCAGTCTAATAATACTAAGTAATTAACGGCAGATTAATTTAAATGATGATAACTTTATTCAAAGAAACTTTATTTGTATGGTTATGCACTTAATGTGGAAAGAGCTGTGCCACAGTCTTAGAAGAAGGCCAAATTTTATTTATGTTTTTAACAATATTATTAAGAATCATAAGAAATCATAAAACTAGTTGAATATAGTTTTCAACATGCCGTATTTCGCTTTTTGCCCTTACTATTAATAAACATATCTACTAACTTAAGGTAGTTATTTATATTAGGTCTTATCATACTAGTGAACATGAACACAAAATTTCTCAAATTTAATGTAAATTTAAATTTACATCTGAATAATTTAAATGGAGATATAAATGATTTAGAAAAAAATAATATTATATATAAATTTAATTGTAATTATAATGACAGAATGATATATATAAGTGAAACAAAAAGATATTTAAAGGTTCAAATAAAATAATGTATTAATGCAATAAAATATAATATACAATCTTCATCTGTAGCAACACATTGTAATTTAAACAGATGTGAAATAGAAAAAGTTTCAATAAAAGCTATAAAATTTGAAACATATATTAATAAACATAAATATTATGAACACATTGAAATTTTAAAAGTTAAAAAAGAAAAAAGAATTAATGATAATTTAGGTGTAAAAATAGATGAAGGTTGGTATGATTATATTGATAAAAATCAAAATAAAAATAGATTTATGACATAAACTTGATGATGTAAAATGGTGTTGCAAATATGCAAATGGTTGTACTGAGAATTCTACTTCCCTGGAATTTGATTGTATAAGTACAGTACATTGTTTTTTTTTTTTCTTTTTGTTTTGTGTAATGTTTC